AGTCCCTGAAAGCACAGGAGACAGGGTGTTGCCTGACACAATTAAGTGCTTAAAAGCTCCATTTGTTCTTCTGACAACAATTCTCTTCCTCTCCAATTGCAGCAGAAGAGAAGACATAGACTGTGTGGCTACACCAACAAGCTGAGCAGACAGACAATAGGGCCAGAGAGCAATATCCGTGTTGCTCATACAAACAATATACCAAACTCAATCCAACTGATCAACAGAGAGCCTTGGGCTGCTGGAACTTCTCTAAATCGGTGAGGTGTATGACTGAGACACAGAGCTGACACACAAAATGTGCCTATCCCTGGCAGTTTCTTTGGGAGAATCTGCGCTCAGAAACACTCAGGATTGTCTGAGAGACAGATACAGCAGGAATGGAGTCCAGTGGATAGGTCTGTAAGAGGAGCTCTCATTTCATAAGAAGATAGGAGGCTGAGTGCAATGGCTCACGCCTGTAATCCCAGCACTTTGGGAAGCCAGGCGGGCAGATCATGAGGTCAAGAGATCGATACCATCCTGGCCAACATGGTGAAACCCCGTCTCTACTAAAAATACAAAAATTAGCTGGGCGTGGTGGCATGTGCCTGTAGTCCCAGCTATTCGGGAGGCTGAGACAGGAGAATCACTTGAACCTTGGAGGCAGAGGTTGCAGTGAGCCGAGATCGCGCCACTGAACTCCAGCCTGGGCAACAGAGCAAGACTCTGTCTCAAAAGAAAAAAAAAAAAAAGGAGACAGGAAGAGACCCCGGGGACCTCTCAGGGATAGACCTGGGCCTGGTTCAGCTGCTGAGTTGCAACAAGGCCAATTAAATAATTGGTGTGATGGGGAAAGGAGGGAAGCCACTCCTTTCAGGCAAACTCCCACCAGAGACAGGAGGCTCCATGCAGCTGTGACAACAGCAGCAGCAATAACAGGGCAGGGATCTCCTCCTCTTCCTCCCACTAGCTGAGATCTAATGCTTAAATTAGCACCTTGGAAACACCCAGATCTGCTGGCTGCCTTCTCTCCCAGTTCTGACACGCCCCCAGGCCTTCTTTTCAAGCCTGAGTTTCTCTTTCAATTAAATAATTTAAAAAATAAAGATGCGCTCCCCCTAGAGTTTATCTTTCCAAGTAGGGAATGGCCTCTGGATTCTTCCCATCACTATGGGATGGGGAGAGTTATTTGATGATGGTGCCCATGTGACAAGTTTTATCCATACAGCTTGGTCCAGAAAGGGGCAATGATGACACCAGCATTGCCTGGCTCCCTTGGGGCTTAAGGAGTCAGCCCCTACTCTGTCCTCAGTGGAGGATCACACTAAGAGAGTGAGCAAGAGAAACAAACTTTGATAAACTGTGAGCTCAAGAGCAGGGTCACATCTGTGTCTGTGTTGCTAACCACTCTATCCTTAATACTCAGTTTAATATTTGGGACAGAGCAGATGCTCAATAGTTATTTGGTAAATTAATTGCTGAATCAATGATATCAGGTCTCTGTGATATTCTTAGAAGGGAGAGTGAGGAGCTATTGTTTAAACTTTAAAGAGATAGTTTGTCTTCATCTCATACATGAAAAAACAATCTAGGAAGGAGGAGAGACTTCCTAGAGGTCTCAATAAATGGCAAAAAATGGAATAGGTCATAGCTAAGTCTGAGCCTGGGACCCTGGTTTTCATGGCCTATCCAAATACCCTTAAAGAGCCATTTTGCCCTCTTTTTTGCCCTTTACCTCTATGACATGCTATCTTGATTTTTTTTTTCTTTCTTTCTTTCTTTTTTTTTTTTTTTGAGACAGAGTCTTGCTCTGTTGCCTAGGCTGGGATGTAGTGGTATGAACATGGTTCACTGCAGCCTCGACCTCCTGGGCTCAAGCAATCCTCCTGCCTCGGCCTCCTGAGTAGCTGGTACTACAGGCATGCAGTACCATGCTGAGCTAATTTTTAAATATTTTTGTAGAGATGGAGTCTCACTATGTTTCCCAGGCTGGGCTATCTTAATTCTTTATGCCGCAAAATGAAGACTCCTGAAGAAACATCACACAAGATTCTGCTGGTCAACAATACACAGGGGATTTAAGGATTTTTGAGGTGCCTCTGGAATACAACCTGGGGACACAGGTCAGGAAGCCGGGCAATGTCTATGACCCTCAAATGAGGGATGACTATATTGCTATTTCCATAAGGCTCTCACTCAACCTCAATAAAGTATTCTCAGGCCGGGCATAGCGGCTCACTCTTGTAATCCCAGCATTTTGGGAGGCTGAGGCGGGCAGACCAATTGAGGTCAGGCATTCAAGACCAGCCTGGCCAACATGGTGAAACCCCATCTCTACTAAAAATACAAAAATTAGCCATGTGTGGTGGCAGGGGCCTATAATCCCAGCTATTTGGGAGGGGGGAAATATATATATATATTCTCTTGCAGACAAGGGTGACTTTAGCAGTTAAAAGGGTCTGAAGGCAGTCAGAGCTTTTCTAAGTGCCTCCTTGCCACAGATACTTCTCCAACTCCAGGTCCACACAGACCGGAAGCAGCTCAAGAGTCCTCTACCCAGCCAAACCACTATTCAGAATTTCAGGCAATAACAGAAGCACCAAGGACAATTGAGAGAGCCTGCTGGCTCTATTTCTTCTCCCCTTTGCTTGAACAGCTATTTCCTCCCTTTTTGGAAACCCCAGCTGGGAGACAAGAAACAACTCATTGCTTCCTTTTCCTGACACATTTGAACCTCCTCGTCCTTCATCCACCCTCTATTTTGATTCTTGATTAGATGCTTAGAACTGGAAGGGCAATCTAGTTTGACAAGCCAGGTTAGCTAGAAAGAGAACTCAGAAAGGAAAATTCTCTTCAGCCAGCCCGAAGTCCTTCTTTAAGTTCATGGGATGGACTTCTCTCCAGGATTTTCTAGCTCCCAAATAATCCAATGATGGCATGAGTCTAGGAAAAAGTCCTGCAACATCTCTCTCTGGTTTAATATTGTATGCTTCTGTAAAACTTCTTTGTTTTGGCTTTTAGAACTGTCTAAGTAGTCATGAAAGGGGGAAAAAGCCTTTTGTCTCCTGCTAAGTGGCCACTAATAATTCTCTCTACCATCCCCCAAAAGGTGTGACAAAAAGGCGGTGATGGGTCCCTGCCAAGGCCCATCTTGGCTGCTGTAATGGGTAGGTTACTCCTCCAGGAAGCTATAAAGCACATCTGTCAGCCAGGGGGTTATAGGCCCAAGGGTAGACCTGTTTCTGGCCACCCTGCCTAATACAGAAGCAGAGCTTCAGAACTTGGAGAGCTCAGCTCTGCTCCAGCCAGCACAGTTCAGAGAAATGGGGCATCCACACTTTCGGGTTTGTAGCTCACCTTGCCTCCTTCCAATTCCAGCTCAGGCTCCAGGGGGATAAAGCGAACACAGCCTAGACATTCCTTCTCTTCCCCCTTCACTATACGAGCTGGCTAGGCCTCCACGTCTCCCACCCGGTTGCCTGACAGACATGCGAGGTCAGGTAGCCCCCGGGGCGGTGGCCAGCAAGCATGGTCTCCCTTAGGCCTACCCTCGGTGCACCCGAGTTGCCCTCCCCCTTCTATTCCCTCCGCGCCAGCAGCGATGACATCATTCCTCCCTGACTCCGGGACCGCGGACAGGCGGCAGGATCCGCGCCCAGCAAGGACTTCAGGCACGTAGGCCTAAGATGATGGGGGCTCTTCGCAACCAGTGGGCACAGGCAACTCCAGCGCGGCCCCACTTCCTCTCCCGTCGGTTCCCGAGCACTCTCATCTGCACCCCGATTCCCCATCTGGTCGCCGTGTACTCTCCTTCCCGGTTTAGATGCCCCCAGCCTGGACTGCCCGCGCTCGCCAACGGAGAATGGAATTCCCAGGTTCTGCACCAACCACCTTCCCCCACTGGGTCCCTCGCCCCGGCCCAGCTTTCCTATCCGTATATCCAGTGGACAGGCGGGCAGGCCCCTCCTCTTTTAAAAGCTGATTCCCAATCTCTCTTAGCCTGACGGCTCCCCCGCCCTAAGCATCACAGGCCTCTAGGATTAAACGCCTCCCCACCTTCCATCCCAGCCCCCTGGGCCTGCCGCCGGCGATGCCCCATGACAGTTCCTTCGCCAGCCCCCGCTATGGGCCTCCACTAGCTGTGTGCACCTTTGTGCCCCCTCCGTTCCATCCGACGGTGCTCTGCCTCCACCGACGGTGCCCTCCGCCCTTACAGGTCCCTTTGCTCTCATCCAGCATATTCTCCCACGGTTTTCTTGTCCTGCAAGTCCCCGTCCCCCGGCAATACGTTTTCAGGGATCTCTTTGCCCCATCCGATGGCGCCCCTCCGCACAATCCCCCCGGCCTGATTCCCTCCCTCCCCCTCAAGCGACGCCCCCTCCCGGCCTTGGCCTGCCAGCCGCCCGCCCCCTCACCAGCGGCTGCATCTCCGAGTGCGCGGTGGGCACCTGGAACCGGTCGATCTCCTCCATCATGGTGCCGGCGGGCGAGCGGGCCAGGGGCCGGGCGCGGCCAGGGACGCCGACGGGACCGCGCGGGGCGGCGGCCCCAGGAGCCCGGCGGGTGGTGCAGACTAGGCCTTCCCGGACCAGTCGGGCTGGCAGGGGCCGGGCGGATGCAGGGGTGGGCGGGGGCGAGAGGTTCGCAGACTGGCTGAAGCCGGCGTGACTCCGTGGGCTTGCCTAGCACTACCGCGGCTGTGGCCGGGCCGAGCCGCAGGTCTTGCCTCGCCTCCTACTCCGCCGCCGCCTCCTGTCAGCAGCTCAGCCACTGCGGTGACTCGGCAACTCCACTTCCGGGTCCGGGACACCGCCCGGGACTTGCATTATTCATGAGGAGGCGGTGTCTGGGGACCCCAGCCCCACCCACATGCGGGAGTTCCGAAGGCGCGCGACCGCCCGGCTGCGATTCCTGAGAGGGCGGGGCTTAGTGGAGACTGGCTCACCGCGCGCCCAACCCCGCCTCCTTCCCGGGCCGGCTGGGCGCGCCAGAGGCGCCTGCGCCTTGGCTGCCGGGCGGTTGCTGGGTAACCGCGTCAGGGAGTTGGATTCTGTCCTGCAAGGGCACTGGGACCCACAACGACGGCTGTCCCTAAAGAACACTTGCGACTGGTAGTTGAAGTGGAGAGTCCAGATTTCTTGTGTGTGGTCAAGGAGACGGACGAACTTTTTGTCTTCAGACGAGGGAGCGTTTTGTAGACTCTCCGGGGGTTGAGATGCTTCCTGCTTCTGCGAAGGCTCCCCATAAACAGTCTCGTAAGCAGGTAACGCACGCACACCTTCCTTCTGATGACCTCTTACCTTCGTCGTCGCCAGTGACCACTAATCATACCTCTCCTACTGATCCTTGATCTTTTATCTGTTGACCCCTAACCTTCTCACCCCCGTGACCTCTAGCAAGTGCTCCCACTGACCTCTGACTCTGTCCTACTCTTTCCCACTAATCCTGGCCTCCTCTCCCATACTACCCCAACCCACTGTTTCTTACCTCTCTCCTTTTATCCACCATTCCCATCTCTTCACTTTACCCCACGGACTCATTCTGACCAGTCTATCCTCCTTAACTCCCCCATCCCCATTCCCACGAGTCCCTTCCTCCTTGTCCTCACATTCTTGTCCCAAAGGAATTTTTCTTTTTCTTTTTTTTTTTTTTTTTTTTTTTTTTGAGACAGAGGCTCGCCCTGTAGCCCAGGCTGGAGTGCAGTGGCGCCATCTCAGCTCTCTGTAACCTCTGCCTCCTGGGAGCAAGCGATTCTCCCGCTTCAGCCTCCCGAGTAGCTGGGACCAAAGGCATAGGCCACCACTTCCGGCTAAATTTTGTATTTTTGGTAGAGACGGGGTTTCCCTATGTTGTCCAGCTCGTCTGGAACTCCTGAGCTCAAGCGATCCAGCTACCTTGACCTCCGGAAGTTCTGGGATTACACGTGAGCCACTGCGCCCAGCCTCAAAGGCATTCTTTATCCAACCCTTTACTGTGTGCTTAGCTCCAGGCTAGGTGGGAACACAGGCCTTGCTGTTTGGGAGCCCACAGAGGGTGCGCAAGAGAACTAAACAGAATACAGGATAGGCTATGTGCAGGAGTTTGATTTATTTTCTGTGCTGGGAGATTTATGAGGAGAAAGAGGGCAGGCAAAGAGGAAGAGGAGAGAGGCCCTTTTCTCATACCTGTCCCCACCCCCACACTGCACAACCCGGACACTCGCCCCCAACTATTTCTAGAGCCTCATGTGTCTCTCTTCCCTGCGAGCCCCTGGTCCACTCCTGTGATTCATTCAGCTATGTGAACATTATGCTCTGATTACCACCTGGACAGATGTCATCCCTTCTCACAGGAAACCCGAGTCATACCCCCCTTAACCCACTGAGCACCGAGTTCTGCCTTCTTCCTCAGCATCACCACGGAAGGCAAGGCAGTCCCAGTTTCCCAAGGAGTCTTCTGTGGTGAAGCAACTTAGTCCTTCAGGAACTTTTTCCAAACCCTTTATGAATTACCACTCTGGCTAATGTGTAGTTTCTAGCTCTGGAAAGCAGGACTTCTATTTATTTATTCCAGATTTACCTCACTCAAGTCTAGGTATATTGAGGTTTAGAGAGCCAATCTGTGTCCATGCTACTTACGACTTTGCATATTTTGGTCTGGCCACCTCCATGTTGGCCTTTGCTCCTCTGCCTCTTTTACCTGGCCTTCTGTAGCAGATGGCCGTGACTTTCTTAGGTCTCTGCAGCCTTGGGGAAGCTGCTAGTCCTGTAAGAACATGCCCTAATTTTATATCGGGGTTGGGCTTTACGTTGAAGTTCATGTACTGTGTTTTAGCCTCCTGACCCTATATTTACAGGCAGTTTGCTTTTATTTATTATTTATTTATTTATTTATTTATTTATTTATTTATTTTTTGAGACGAAGTCTCGCTCTGTCGCCCAGGCTGGAGTGCAATGGCCGGATCTCAGCTCACTGCAAGCTCCGCCTCCCGGGTTTACGCCATTCTCTTGCTTCAGCCTCCTGAGTAGCTGGGACTACAGGCGTCCGCCACCTCGCCCAGCTAGTTTTTTGTATTTTTTAGTAGAGACAGGGTTTCACTGTGTTAGCCAGGATGGTCTCGATCTCCTGACCTCGTGATCAGCCGGTCTCGGCCTCCCAAAGTGCTGGGATTACAGGCTTGAGCCACTGCGCCCGGCCTGTTTTTTATTTTTTATTTATTTTTATTTATTATTATTATTATTTTTTTGAGACTGAGTCTCGCTCTGCCTCCCAGGCTGGAGTGCAGTGGCGCGATCTCGGCTCACTGCAAGCTCCACCTCCCGGGTTTACACCATTCTCCTGCCTCAGCCTCCTGAGTAGCTGGGACTACAGGCGCCCGCCACCACGCCTGGCTAATTTTTTGTATTTTTTAGTAGAGACGGGGTTTCACAGTGTTAGTCAGGATGGTCTCGATCTCCTGACCTCGTGATCCGCCCGCCTCAGCCTCCCAAAGTGCTGGGATTACAGGCGTGAGCCACCGCGCCCGGCCTATTTTTTATTTTTGAAACGGAGTTTCGCTCTTGTCACCCAGGATGGAGTGCAGTGGCACGATCTTGGCTCACTGCAACCTCCACCTCCCGGTTCAAGGGATTCTCCTGCCTCAGCCTCCCAAGGAGCTGGGATTACAGGCATGTGCCACCACGCCTGGCTAGGTTTTTTTTTTTGTTTTTTTTTTTGTTTTTTTTTTTTTTTTTGGAGACAGGTCTTGTTCTGTCGCCCAGGCTGGAGTGCAGTGGCGCGATCTTGGCCCACTGCAAGCTCCGCCTCCTGGGTTCACGTCATTCTCCTGCCTCAGCCTCCTAAGTAGCTGGGACTATAGGCGCCTGCCACCACGCCCGGCTAATTTTTTTGTACCACGCCCGATTAATTTTTTTGTATTTTTAGTAGAGACAGGGTTTCACTGTGTTAGCCACGATGGTCTTGATCTCCTGACCTCGTGATCCGTCCGCTTCGGCCTCCCAAAGTGCTGGGATTACAGGTGTGAGCCACCGCACCAAGCCAGTTTTTGTATTTTTAGTAGAGACGGGGTTTCACCATATTGGTCAGGCTGGTCTTGGACTCCTGACCTCAGGTGATCCACAGGCCTAGGACTCCCAAAATGCTAGGATTACAGGTGTGAGCCCCCGTGCCCCAGCAGTTTGCTTTTAAAATTATTGAGGTTTGGTTTACATATAATAGAATGTACCATTTTAGTTGTACATGTTGACAAATTTTAACAAATTTACACACGTATGAACCACCACCACACTCAAGATATAGGATACTTTCTCTATCCCAAGAAGTTCCCTGTGCCTCATCCCACCTCCTATCCCCCACCCCTGGCCTGCCTAGGTAACCACAGATCTGCTTTCTGTCATTACAGATTCGATTTGTCTTTTCTAGCAACTTACAATTTGAACAAACTTGGGGATGGGTTGCTGTAGCCCATTAGGGAGACATTAGAGACTAGTTACAATGAGAGCAGAGAGAGGTGATAGTAGACAGAAAGCAGAAAAAACTGGGTCAACTGGCCCCGTACACATCAGCACTGCTCTATGGAGGGAAGGGTTGTTTTAATTCAGAGTAAATATGGGTGTGCGGGGTGTGAGAAAAGGTTGGGTTGTGCTAGGTTGTATTCATCATTTTCTTGCCTCAGTGAAGACCAATTTGAGTCAGTGCTAATCAGGTGTGGGATGTCCTAGAGATGTTTGAGAAGTTGTCCCTGTCCTCTGGGAATTCAGTTCAATGGGGGAGACAGAACACAGGCATACAAAAATAAAGGAGGATGGAATCCCTGAGGATGAAGGAGAGAGAGGCCAGCAGGTTAGAGCAGCAGAAAGGCTTCAGAGAGGAGGTAGGTAGGACTGGGATGCCAGGGGTGAGGGATAGAGGGATAGAGGATAGAGAGGAGTTTAAATTCCATTTGTTCATGTCACTCCACTGGTCACCTTTTAGTGATTCCCTGTTGCTCTCAGGATAAAGTCCCAAAAGTCCAATTTGCTTGGTATGGCCTTTGCCACCCTGCATGATCTTGCCTTTGCTACCCATCCTACTTCAAATCACCACCTATATGAAAATTCCACAATCCCAGCAAACTGAACTGCCCTCACTTCCTAGAAAGTAATATTCACACTGTTTATCTCCTCTAAGCTTTTGAAATCTTTTCTGTCTGCTTCTACCTACTCTACTCCACCCTGCCCCAAATCTTTCATTCATATCCTATTCATACTGCAGGTCTAAGCTTGGCATTCATATTCTTCTACAAAGGATTAAGTCCCCTTTCTGGAGGCAGGATAGGGTGATATCCCCACTAGACTATAAACTCTGTTATGGTAAGGATCATGTCTGTCTTGTTCATTGTTGATTCCCCTCTGCCTAGCACAATACCTGGAATACATTGAATTCTAAGAAAATGAGTTCAATATGAATTCTGAATGCCCTAAATTGTTCTTGGAAATTATCATCTGAATGTGTCTGAAGGATAGGAAGGGGTGAAACTGGTATGGGGAGACTAGTGGGGGATTATAACAAGGAAATGTAACTGTGTAAGCATGGTTTTCCAGGTGCATGTTTATATCTGCTTTGGCAGTAGGGCTGTGAATGATTCAAATTTGAACCATACATATCCATGCCTTGAGAGATGGGTTTTGGAGACTAAGAGATAAAAATATTGATGTATAAATATTCATGCAGTAATTATTTATCGTACACACTCTGTGTTAGGTACTGTTCTAGGTATCGGTGATATAGCAAGAAACAAAACAAACAAAAATCCCTGCTCTCATGGAGCTTATTTTTTAGTTGGAGGTAAAGTGGCAATAAATAAATATGTAAAATATATAGTATATTAGATGGTGATAGATGCCAAGAAGAAAACTAAATCAGAGAAGTAGACTAAGAAGTTCAGGGAATCAGAAGATTATCATTTAAATAGGATGAACAGGGAAGGTATCACAGAGGTGGCATATGAGCAAAGACCTGAAGGAAATGAAAGAACTATGCAATATCTGGGGGTGGGGTGTGGGGTGAAGGGGTGGGGACAGGGGAAGCATTCCAGACAGATGGCATAGCAAGTATAAAGTCCCTCGAGATGGGAGCCTGCTACACATCTTCTGGATCAGCAAGGAAGGGAGTGGGGAATGTGGCAGGAGATAAGGTCAAAGAGGTACATTCCCCTATTCCATAGAGTTAATCAAATAACCCATGGCATATTAAATTGGTCATTATGGAGCTCCATGAATCATAATTTGTAATTAAAATGCATGA